ACTATTTTAAATTTTCAGTGCTGTTGTCTTATGGTATAATTCAAATTCCACACTTTTCTGAACTTCGACACCACAATTTATCTACTTGGTCTGTAGCTTACTAGAGTGATGGAAAAATCTCCTCAAGAGCTGATATATCAGGAAACAGTGCTACTATGATTTGGAGAGCTCCTTGAGCTACAGTTCAATGTGAGGGGTTTTTTTAAAACATTCTGGGTTTTGTTTTCAAATGTGAATCAGGAAGAAGTGCAATCCTGAAATCAGCATGGTTAAATTGTCTAATTAAATATGATAAACGGTTTTAGTTTTCAGTTGTTGACTAGACCCCTGCAGAGTGATAAAGGCACAGTTTTATTGCACATGAGGCAAGTTGTGGATGAAAAAGACAGACAGGGAATGGGACTCACTGAAGTGTAGATATCGAGAATCCCATTTAGGTTCTATGGAGAGAAGCAGACCCTAACAGGGAGCTATTTCTCTCATCCTTAAAATATCCAGTGTATCTGGGTAAATTAATAGTTTTCTACAAGTTTTTGGCTGCAGAGAGTGCCTGAATGTGACTATCTGAGGATAGAAATACAGTATAGGTTATGTGAAATCTAGGTTTAGTAAAAATATAACAGAATACATCATATAGAAGGCACGCATAGTCCTTCCAAAATATCTTAGATGAAAAAAGGAGTATATATGCAGTGCAGCACAGGTATATTTAGTCTACAATTCACAGAGTCTGTATAGGTAAAACAGTGCATGGGATGAATCTGACATCTCTAAATGACATGCCTTGATGGTGGAGAATATGTCCCCAGAAGTGACAGCCTTAGTAAAGAAGAATGGCATGACTGTTGAGCAGTTCCTGCACTTTTTTTTATTTATTTCTTAGTGAGAAATCTAATAAAAATAAATCTTTACAAAGATTTTTTTTTACTAGATCAATATCCAGGTCTTAGAAAGTTTAACTGCATTTCACTGTCTTTAACTGTTTTAATACTGATAAGCACAAAGATGAAATAACCGATCCTACTTTGTGAAGAATCAAGGATAAAATGTCAATACCTTTAACAAAAAACAACCCCCCTTGCAATTTCTCACTTATGACAGGTTTTCAAATAAATTGAAAAATTTTCTTGACATTATGATTAAAACAGGACGTGATTCTTTGGCCCTCGCTAATGATTAACTGTGCTCGTGGCAAAGCAGAATTTCTGATTTTTCTGGTAGCGTAACAAAGGAAATTTGGTGAAGTTTTAACAGTAGTAGTGCCAAGAATAGAATACTATTCATTAACTTAGGCTTTCGTATGTATTATTATATTGTCATTTCTTATGGACTTAAATAAGCCAAATCACAAATGGGGGAACAGAATAATAATGCAGAAGAAGGTTGTTGAATGCAGAAAATAAAGACTGAAGTTCCAGAATAATTTTTTTTTTTCCTCTCTCTGAGATGATACTTTTAAATGTTCTTTTCAAGAACATTAGTTAAAAACAGCTCATACAGAAGCGTGAATTTTACATTCGAGTTATCCCTTTAAATCATTGCTTGTTAAGAGGCCATCTGATGGAAACCTGCATTAGAAAAATGTAAATTTTTCTACAGTGACTATGGCAGACTCCAATTAGAAGGCTGGAAATAAAAGTAGTCAAAACTTCTTGCTCACATTCTTACAATCTTTCTGTTTTTCAGTGGCACCTTTGATTTAGAGAAGGAAAGCTCACAGCAGACACATGGTTCAGAGATAGAGTGCTGAAGAAAAGCTGCATTAATCAGGGGGAAACACAGCCTTTATACAAAGCTGTAGGTTTCCAGATATAAGTCAAAGGTGTTTTGTTATTGATGCTACAGTATCTAGTTCAAACAAAGAGAAAGAGATGTTGGAAAAAGAGTTGTTATTTTGAAGTAACAGCAGCATCTACTGCACACGGCATTGCAACTGCTGTGCATGTGGGTGCGAGGTGGGCAGCCTCAGAGTACTGTCATGCCACACTATATTTGCTGATTATCAATAGGAGTGTAATCTCTAATCTGACTCTAGATTAATCCTACCAATCCAGTTTGGTCCAAGTAAGATAATGTACTGTCCTATACTCTCTCATCAAAGGACCGTAGCAATCATAGATGTCAACAGTCTTTCTCTGTGACACCAAATTACGTTCCTATGATTGAAAAAAATAAAAAGGAAACAAATACTGTAAATATGCAGTAAAGTGATCAGTCTGTTCAGGTGGAAACAATGACAGGCAAGTGCTTACTTGGATTGATTGATGACAGACTTGTAAGGGAAACAGCATAGAGTTCACACCTATGAAGGAAGCAAGAATGTATCGCAGGAGAAAGTCACTTAGTGAAAATGTTAATGGCAGTTTTCAAAAAAAACTTGCAGTGTCTTGAAGTTAAGGAGGAAGTTGAGAAGCTATTAGAATCACCTGTATAACCCTGGTGCTATGTGCCTAAACTTTTTAACTTGGAATATAAACCAAGCATTTTTGTGTTTGCTTTTGGGTTTTTTTGTATTTTGGGTGTTGTTTTGGTTTTGAGATGGTGATTTTTTTGTTGTTTGTTTGTTTGTTTGTTTTAATATGAGAATTGAAGTTATGGTTTAGCAGGAATATCCAGTAAGATCCTCAAACACTGTCTTTTTCTTCTAGTTAGGATTTGGTGGGTTTAGGTTTTTTTTCTCGGAGATTTACATTTTTAAGTGTAAAGTTCTTTTTCAAGTTGCTTCCAAAAAAAAAAAAAGATTTAAGGCTTCATACAAATTCTGTAATATGTTTTGACATATATTGCATTGTGTGCTTTGTCCTTCAATAACATTCTACCAAGGACAGTAAAAATACAAAACCAAATGCGCAGCTCTTCTGCATCACTGCAATAATTAAGCCCAGGAAAGTGACTGCTAAGAATGCCTTACTTATGCCAGAGGCCAGTTTGGTTCCTAGCAGCCTTAAAAAATTAAGAAGAGAAGGTGACAAAAAGGTGGAGAAAAGCATGCATGACTTCAAATGATGGGTCTATCTCAACAGTCTGCTTTTGGCATTCTATGGTCTATATTGCACAAGCTGACCTCTCTTCAAAGGGAGTCACAGCTCTGGAGAGGGCATGCCAGAGGGGGAACTCTGTCATTTTTTGAAAGGGTTATTGAAGGCTACTCTCTGAGTACATGGAAAAATGAATGAGAATTTCAGAATGTGGCCTAATGGAGCAATTTGTGTAACAATTACTTTAAAGACAATATTTTTGGGAACAAGAGCTCCAGAAGGAGTCTAATGTAATAGGATTCTGTCATAAAATTGTAGCTTGAAACAGTTCTTTTCATGAGTAGCAGGACTTCTTACTTTAGACATAAGTATTTACAGGACCTATGGGGTGTGAGACTAGTTATTTCTTCTTTTACTCCTTTTGCATATAAACTTCCACTTAGCCCTGTGGCTCCTTTAACTAGCATAATTCTATCTTTATTCTTCAATTTTTTAAAAGATCCCAGAATTCATACAGTTTTGTAACATAATCTATACTTTAAATTATAAGTGAGTTTCATGTTATGATTTTAATGTATGATCTGTCATTGGACTTTAAACTGCCAGTGGCAATACAAACATTATTCAATGACTTGTGCAAATTATAAAAACCCTTTTTTTCCTGCATTTACTCTAGAAAAGAAATCTAAATTTACTGACTTCTTTTCTGTCTTTGCTGCAAGCTGCCGTGACATGAACTCTTAAAACTTATGAAACAATCATGGAAAAAGTATCAAGTAAACTTTAAAATCAAGCCTAACATATGTGGTGTGTGCGTGAAAAAATCAAGGCATATTAAAGGTAGTGAGTTTGACTGGATGTAAGAATAATGAATATTCATCTCATAGGATTTATAATATATCACAGGAATATCTTTAAATTGTTGCAACTAACAGTAAAAGTTTTTAAGACAGTGGATAAGCTAAGTCTAAAATAAGACAGCAAATAAAAAAACATGCCTTAGAAGTTACTATTGGAGGAGCATTTGCATTTTGGACACCAGAGACAAAGAAGAGCTGAGCACCATCAGATCCATATTTAATAGAATTTAGTATCCACATCTTCTTGACATGAGAAAACATAACACATTAAAACTGAATTTTTTTGAAGCAAGCAAACATATTTTGCATAAAGAAAGTATCAAAAACTCTCCAGTCTGTGACTGGCCAAACATGTGGAGAGAGATGTGTCCCCTTCTAGGAGACATTACTTGGTGCAATAGAGGGGTGAATTGCCCTTTGAAGCATTTTTGCTATCCCAGTTGATTGTAGGGATGACTTAAAGGACTGGATTAACTGACTTCTTGATGGCTATAATGAGTGGAAGTATTAATCTTGTGAAGTTTAACAAAGGAAAATACAGAGTTTTGCAGCCAAAGAAAAATAGTCCCATGCATCAGTACACACTGACTGGCTGGAAAACAGCTTTGCAGAATAATGCCTGGGAGTCCTAATGGACAGCAAGTTGTGCCACAGCCAGCTGAGCTCTCTTGCAGCAAAGACTAACAGCCTCCTGGGCTGCATTAGACAGTGTGTTGCCAGCAGATCAGAAGGAGCTGACTTCCTTTCTGCTAAGAACTGGAAAGATACATCAGGAGTGCTATTACCAGTGCTGATGTCGCCAGCATGGGAGAGACGTGGACTTCCTAGGGCAAGTCCAGCAAAGGACCACATAGATTACATGTGGTCCTTTGCTGGACCACATAATCAATGTTAGCCCATAACATAACATAGATTATGTTATGGGCTTGGAACTTCTGTCATATGAGAAGAGGCTGAGCAAGTTTAGAGTACTTTAGCCTGGAGATGAGAAAGCTCAGGTGGATCTTATCCGTTTCTGTAAGTACTTGATGGAAAGATTATATAAAAGAGTGAAACTGACTCTTAGTGGTGCCCAGTGAAAGGAGGAGAGACAATTGACATAAATGTAAATACAGGAAATTTCAGTTATACATAAAAAATTATTTTTTTTTACTTTAAGAGTGGTCAAACACAATGGGATTGTGGAGTCTCCATCCTTTGAGATATTCACAACCCAGCTGAACACTGCTCTGGGCAACCCGCTTTAGCTGACTCTGTTCTGAGCAGACGTGTTGAATTAAAGGATTTCCGGATGTCTACACCAATCTCAACCATTATGTGATACCAAGATTCTGAGATTTTGTGATGAAGTCTATGAAAAAAGGGAGGAGGACAAGCACAGAGGTAAATTTTTTAACTTTCATTGGTCGTTTGGGTTTGTGCTGATATCAAAAATGTGGATGTACAAGCCTCAGATATCCACCCTAGCCTCTACCTGTAATTTACACAGAGAAATGAGCACTTAGCAGTGCGCTGACCTATCTCTGATGCTTATCGGAAAATAAGATAGATTGCTCTCTGGAGGTGGTTTATTTTCCCTCCAATGACTGCAGTGTAAGCTCAGTGTCCAGTTTGTCCCATGGTATTTAAAAGTCAGGTATCAAGAAAACTATTCAGTCAAGAAAAAAATCATACACCTACTGTAATACTTTTTTTCATGCTAAGAGATATCTAAGGCATGCCCTATTGCAGTATGTAGAGTATTTAAAAAGAATAAAAATAAAATATTGGAATAACTGAAAGACATTGGTATTTAATAGTTAAATTCACAGACTGTTGATATGAGAATTGTCCCATGAAGTTTATATAAAGTCACAATGCACATCCTCCTAATTTAATCAGACATTAAAGGCTAGAATCATAGTGAGCACACCCTGAAAAACAGAGGTGTATTCATTATGCAGATGCAAACATCTGTATTTGTGTGCAAATCCAGGGTCTGAATATATGAACGTGATAACTGCATGCACTATGTTACGCTAGAGGGAACAAGAGACAAAGAGGAGCTGTGCAACAGTGGAATTCCCTCAAGGAGTACTCTCTGATTCATCTGTCACATACTGAAGCCTTTTCAGAGGGTGCCAGACCTCTGGAGAGGGGATGCTGGAGGAGGAGCTCAGCCACAGTTTGAAATGGTTCAGAGCTTGTTTATTGCTGCCCAGCTCAATTCTGCTAACCTCGGCTGCCCTCCCCAGTATTCCTGTGGCTCTCACCTGCAGGAGTAGATTTTTCTGTCATCTTCCCACCTATGTGTGGTCAGACACAGCCTGGAGAGTATTTAATGTTTTCTTTATGCTGAACATACCTGATTAAATGAATCATCAGTATAATCCCAATGAATTAAATATCACTTGTGTTTAGCCTATTCTACCTTGTACTCGTCAATGTAGATATCTAAAAACAACTAAACAGGAACCACTGGAGGATTTTTGGAGGATTCAGATATCAACCCAATTTTTTGCTCTGTTGCTGCGCAGCAGACAGAGAGAACTAATTAAAAAAAAACACATCTAGCAACAGTGGTGGGGAAAAGAGAAGGAGAGAGATGGAATGGGGAAAGGCATTCCCTTCAAAACTTTACACATTATCAATTGCTCTAATGAAAAAGCATCATTATATTACATGTCTTTAATGTAGCCACTCAGCTAAAATCCTGAGCTTCATTTAAGAAAGACAGTAAAAGATGGGTCTATACAAATTTCATTCCAGTTAAAAAAACTTGCATTATAAACAGTAGCAGGAAACATTGTCATTCCCTTCCCCCATCCCTCCGTCTTGGGTAAGACCCATTTTTGAGCTGTTCTCATTCAGAGAACGAGTAGCTACTTTTGGCTTTGTTCCCAGAGTGCTGCGTACTTGGTGGTGTGTGAGGCATTGCCTCCTGGGGAAAACGGAGGAGGGGCACTGAATCACAGCACTTAATTCTTAATGATTGTTCTGTGTGGTCAAGAGGACACAGAGCAGGCAATGCTCTTTATTCTTTACTTACTGTTATAGCTATTGGCAGCCAGCCCTTTTAATTTGGTTATCAATACTCAATGCCTTTAATCTTTTACTTAAAGCCAGTCCAAAATAAGTACTAGCCAATGAGCATCTGCTAAACAGAAATATTGGTGGAGAGATATGATTTAAGGCAATGCTGCTAAGAGCCTACAAGTATAAGTGCTGAGTAAAAGTTATTTGGTATTCTCTTGACAAATCTTGTTTCTTTATCAGGATGGTTGCTTTTCTGACAAAATATCTGTCAACTAATAATGTGTGGAAAAAATCATATGTGTTGCTAATAGATGAGCTTTTCAGATTATCCCATCCGTCTCCCTGTTGATTATAGGACACTCTTCTAAAGTACATTTTCTATTACTAAATCAAACTTAGATTTCAGTATCCAGTGAAGTGGGATTTCTACATTTCAGAGGCTACTGAATAACCAGAAAAGTGTCACTGACTGGGAAGTTTCTCTTTATATTTCTTATCTTTGTCTTCATACGCTGACTTCTAATTACATCCCAGAGTACTGCATACTATAATTCCCTTCTTTTCTAAGGATCTGTACTATTGCAAGCTGATACTATTCTTCCTTTTTGTCACTTGTCCGTGTTGTTAGAGCACTGAGTTCTTTGGAATATGCAAGTGATTTAATAAGTAAAAATCAAAGTATTTATTCCTATTTTTGTTTGTTCTCTGGAGAACTCCTTCCAGTTTGCCAATCTGTTTCTAAGAATGTAGTTCCTTTATTTAAATACAGTATTTCAAATGAAGTGGCTTCAAAAGACAAGACAATAATCCTCTTTCTTTCCAGTGATTTACCTGCTAGATTGTAAAAGTAAGTGCTCTGGAAGTTCACTTGGTTAATAATGAATCCAAGGCTTAACTCATTTGTAGAACATGTGCACTGCAGAAGAACCTTTAACCAACCACTTAATATGTATGCATAGGAAAAAGTAGATGCACATCATTTAATTCATAACGCTGATTTTATCCTGGTCACCTGCAAGGGCATGTAGGCACCAGTTCAGCTGATCTGCTGGAGATGTCCACTTTGGAGAGGGTTACATGGCTCTTTGGATCCATTGATCAAATGACTTTGCTTCAGTTGTCCATACACAGGTGTCTAATACATGAGAGATGTCTCAGGTATTCCTGCCTACTCTCCAGCTTCTTCTTCAGAAAAGTGTCCCTGAAGTCCTCTGTGATATCCGTCAGTCCCATGAGGTTTTGTCAGATACTCTAAGATGGCATTTTAAATGGGAAGGCATTTTAAATGGAAATGCAACAAGTCTCTCTGTTTAGCCAGCTGAGTTTTCAGTCACTGCAGGTTTTCACTGACTAGAATGGGGTCTTGGATATCGAATTCACATGTAGTACCTAAATTTGGTGCATCAGTCTGTGAGGTGAATCTCATTCACCTCAATGTCTACAGCTGAATGAGAGGAATCTCATCTGCAGCTGAGGTGATATTTTGATTTTTGAACTAAAATACCCAGTAGGTATTGAGTAGAACAAGGGGCATTTAGAAGAAAAGGGTTTATCACCTGGTTTACTTTTTGTTGTCTTATTTTCCATGATCACAATTTGCAATTAAATAGTATTTTTCTACATTGTGTTATTATTACAGGTGCTATGTTTTGTTCTCTTGGTTGCTTATTTTGTTAAAAAGCTACTCTGTAGGTGAGGTCAAACATGATTACTGTGCCAGTTTCATAGTATAATTTGTCATGAACTGGTATGTAATTGCTCTCACACTGTTCCCCTTTTGTTCTTTTCAAAATATGTCTTCACATTGAATGAGTTTCTCTAGTAGATTAAAGACATACTTTTTTCAGCAATTCCAATAACACTATTGCAAATTATTTTTCTCTGACTTCTACCAGTATATTTATTTATTTGTCCATTTCTTTTCTGACAACCATTTTCTTTTTCCCATAGTGAGTTCAGTACTGTCAGTTTGGAGCCATAAAGAACTTTATAGCAGCTTAACTCAATGTTTGCTATAATCAGAAAAGCAGTATCAACCACACCAAAGGGAAATTTAGGGATTCTCTTTAAAATTCATGTGTTTCTTTAAAAGCTCTAAAACATATCTCCTCATTCCTCCTGGACTGACTACCAACTAAAGAAAAAAACACCAGTTTGCTACTAGATCACATGTGAGAAGGTATCTCCAAATCACAAAGATCAGGGAAAAATTCAATGAATGTGTGGTGCTACAGAACCTGATTGTTCTCTCTGGAGAACATTTTCTAATTTCCATGGTTCAGTTGAATTTTCAAGGTATCTTGTCTGGTTTTTTTGCCTTTGAATCCAGGCCATTAACAGTGACTCCAGCATCTTTGGGAGTACTTTAGCCATGAATTGAATCTTATGCCCTGTTTCACACACTTCTGCACTCCCTACAGTGTAGCTGGTCTGTCCCAGCTGATTAACTGATGATGAAGGGCTGAGTTAAAGGAAACACGTATTTAAAATCTTGTGTAAAATGTCATTTAAACACATGCTTCCCAATGTATTCTTCAATTCACTTAAAATATGTCTTTAACATGTTTAAACAGCATAAGGATGCACCAGACAGCTAACTGGGTAAAGAAAATACTGGTGTTTTTAGGTGGAGATGAAGATTAACAAATTAATTGTTCTGCAGTTTGTGTTCACTGACTCTTTTCCCAGAATTAACACTTTTTTTCTGCATTCCTGTTTTAAATGTCACAAGTATCAAATATGACCTCTAGCAGAACTTCTTTGGCAGACTGTCATTAGCTGTTAGTCCCTGTTTGGAGAAGGAAGCTAACTCGGCCTGTGAGTGTCACCAGACAGTTCTTTTTCAAGCAAGAGTTTCTGTATGATGTGCTTCTCATACAGTTGTTTCTTGGAGGTTTTCTTCTACTCACTATTTATCAAAGTTGGAATAATCATGGATGGCTTCTGTAGGAACCATACAGAGAGCATCAGTTTTAAACTGAGTGTCTGCACTGATTTTTCCCTTTACAGAATTTTTCCCAAATTGGTTGTTACCCTTTTTAGAGAATGGCAATATACAATTGTCTAAAACTTTGTTATATATAGTTCTTTTTGTCATTCCTGCTTATATACATCTGTGAATCTTCTGCAGCAGAAAAGTAAAAGAAAGAATGATAGCAGACCCAAGAGAAGCTGAGAGCAGCTATTTTTTATAGATACACAAACATTTTCTTAGGAAAATGTTTCTTAAAATGGTTTAAATTTTTTAAAAGTGTCCATTAAAGAAAATGTCAGTCACCATAAAGTGTAATGGGGTTGTGACCTGTCAGCTTCAGTCCCTGTTGCCTTGGTCGCTCTAATTGAAAGGAGCTTGTGCATAATGCTGCAGC